GGATTGGCAACAATACAGTCACGTGGTAACTCGGCTCATCTAAGACCGCTTTCCATATGCTCGCCAGTTCCACACCCTCGATTCTATTCACGCTGTGATGTTTAGTAATGTCCATCGCCTCGGCTATCAGCCGCTGTGGTGTGAATCGCAGTCCCCGCCTTAAAACTTCCACATTCTACAGATCCATTCTATGTCCCGTGTCTAGGGCATGTACCGCCATCGCTGAGCTCTGGATCAGCATTTGGCATTCTTCCGCATTCCTTGTCGGTTTGTTTATCCTTCTTTTATGCTCATCAGTTCTAATGTGCAATTCCCTGACAGCTTGTCCTATGTAAACCTTAGTGCAATCGTTGCAGTTACCTTTATGCACACAGTCCCTAGTCCTTTCAACCGGCACAGGATCTTTCAACTGCACCAAAACTGAGCGTAGCGTTTTTCCCCTCTGAAAGCTACTCGAATGTTGGCTGAGTTCCTCTTCGAATAACCTCCGATGTTCCTGCTTTTTATGGAATGACTGCTGTGCCAATCCATTACTTACTGGGTCTAGATACTGGAGCCAATATCTTTCTTAGTTGACGCTTAATCAAACCCACTGGGTATCCTATTTCTTGAAGTTTGTTGGCAACCTCGATTTGAGCTGCCGTTCGGTCGATCTCTTCTGTGCACAGCGCTCTGAATCGACGCAACATCAATGAGACACTACTGGCGACACTACGGCTGACGAATAGCTTAAGACGGTTCCTGTGTCTGTTGGTTTCTGCTAGATAGTAGTTTTCAATTTCCAACCAATTTAATGTGTTAAACAGTCCAGAAAGGGTAAAGTGCCCGAGGTGGACTCCATTTCCGTGCAAAACTTGATGTGTGGATTTAAACTATTGAGGTAGTCGTGGAAGCTGTTCACATTATCTCGTTTGATCACAAAAAAAATCTACCGATTGTTACTAAACTTTTCCGAAAACGACGACTACTCAATCGGTTCTAAGCATTTTTCATCTGATTGAATAAGCCCAATCATATCTTGTTTTAGGCTGCGTACTAATATGTTGGCATTTATTCGGGAATATCCATGTTCTGAAAGCCACACGGAGATTGGATGAAGATAGCACGTTTATCCACCCAGAATATCTGAGGTAACCAATTTTTTCAGACCGGTTAGCAAGTTCTATTTTCGCTGAAAGACGTACACGGAAGATATGTCCATCAGCGCGTTAGTGGTGTGCGATTTTTTTCCCAACCCGCTGATTGATGAATATGTTCGTCTACCTATGTCCGCTAGATCATGTGAGTCGACTGTGGCACATCCAGCGATGAACGTTGTTTACGCAGCTGAAGGATGTGCGAAACCGGCTGCACACTGTATCGAGTAGTCAATCGAGCCCTCATAAATGAGTGGGTAGGTAACACCTACTCGCTTGAACACACCCGTTATTGTGCGCTTTGACGCCGGCTGACCTACATCAGACAAAAAGGCTGGTCACTATTGCTCTGTGCAAAGGGGTGGTTCGCAAGTTCCTGCGGTGGGGAGAAAGGGCCTAAAATATACCTGATCTGTTACTCGGTTTCGATGTTCCACTGAAGGTCGCCTGCGATCCTGTCGCACTAGACACTGCACTCAAAGCTTACGGACCAGGCGAAAAGCAAGGCGTGTGTACTATAACCTGCAATCGGCATTTTAAAGTCGAGACCAGATAACAAAGCAATACCAAGTGAAGCAGAAAAACAAGGCACCGCGCCTAAAAACCGGTACAGTCAAGCCCGTATGCTGCTGAAACCGAACGACAGTTACCGAGTTTGCACGTCACATCTGCCACAGTTAATGAGACAGTCGCTACGCGTGTTCCAGTGAACGAAAGGGAAGCCAAAAACGGTGGCACAAGACCTCAAAGACAATAGATGATTGTTAAAGCCCAAGTAATTCAACTCAGCAGCGCAGACGGTCAACTAGACCAGGTACCTGAGCTCAGCTCGTACAGTAGCCCAGAGACTCGATTAGTGAAACTTCCACTTCCGGTAAAGTACTTCGGGTCGTAACTGTTGGGCGATCTGCTCAATGTATCTAACCTCAGATGAAAGAAATGTCCAGCTGCACCGCAAGAAAACACAGTAATCTGGTTTGAATGGGTCAGTCAATGTGTTTTAGGAGAATGCTTCGGTAAACTCCAATGTCCTTAGTTCGAAAGTACAGGTCAGCTGGCGCAGGCCCTCACTGAAGTATTGGACTAAAGTAAACGGTCGGATACATGTTCGCATTGTCGTGGGCTCGTGCAACTCACTTTAATGTGTATGCTAGTACTTTCGGCGAATTTCTTAGATCATTCAGCATACACTTCATTGTGTGCACGTCGATCGAGAAAGCGATAGGTCAGCCAGGGGTAAACCGATTTTCTTACCCAATGGACAATTAGACCGTTCGAATACTCACACTTAGCTTGGTTAATTCGTACTTCTCCCCTGAGCATGGATGATTGAATCTGTGACCAGAGGACTTGGACTAATCTAATGGCGGCCTAAGTGTGCTAGGGGACAATCGAGTGCGGTTATATGAAGCCGTCAGAGGAAAAGATACGTAAGAGTGGTACGTATGAACGGTGCTACATTATTATTTGGTGTAATAGTGTTTCCGGGAACTACCGAGCATCAGGGTCGCGAAGATATCGTCACAAAACACCTCCTCATTGCGACGCGACGGCGTGAACGATGATGTGAAAAATTGTGTGCGGGCTGACAGGTATCAAGTAGCCCCGCCATTATGGTGGCATGGATCCTCAACTGATATCCAGGTCTCCCATAAAAGACCAGATGGACCCAGGGGCGTGACTGCACAATAATTGTTATCCCGCCATAAAGTGCTTTTAAATGTTACACAAGCAAGATATGGACGGGAACCGAACGATCGGCGCTGACAGCTGGAATCGTTCGAGTTGCACTTGGAAATGCAAGGCAGAAAAAAGCGCGCTCGAACGGACACCAGAATCTTGGGAGTACACGAACGACGTCAACCCAAGAACCGTTGATAGTTTTGACAGTTTTCCTACACTCCACTGCATTGCAGCATGTACTTGGCTGATCAAAGGCGCATCATCGAACAAAAGCAATAGGGCACTGTGGGCTTCCACTGTGCACTTCCACGTCGTTCAGTATTTATCCCACTCAAGTTGCTAATCGGGCTTGATAGCTAGATAGCAGGGATCTTCTTCAGGTAATCCCCCCCCAAAAAAAAACCCCCCACCACCCAAAAAAGATTAGGAAAAAGAGGATATGAAATCTGTACTTTTAGTTTTTATTGAAGAACGTGAAATTGGGACATGTCCTTATTAATTTGCATGAAAAGGTCCGTTTTGCGGTACCTTTGCCTCCAAACGAACTCACAAGTTACTGTCCACTAAGGATCGGTGTGCGCCGCATTGGCCTCTATTCTGCATCCTGTAGGCGTGGCAAAGAGATTCTATTGTTTGTGTGTGAGCTTCGGTCGTTGGATCCACAAAGCTTTCGGTATGATTAACCGTTTCATGAGTATGATTCATATTAATCATCGTTCAATTCCTTGGTATGATGCCCACATATCGGGGATGATGATTGAGCCGGGAGCGATGCAGGCCTGGATTGTGTCCATCAAAGTGGCCGCAGTTCGATCTGGCACTGCATACATGAACACCTCTTTGGTTTCCCGGCCGATCCCTCCGAAGATCCACTGCCAGGGAAAGACTCGCTCTGCGTGGATTTTACGGCGAGATATTAGCGTTTCGTCGATCCACGCAGGGCGAGTCCTTCCCCAGCAGTGGATTTTCGAAGGGATCTGCCGGGAAAATAAAGAGGTGTTCATGTATGCAGTGCCAGATCGAACTGCGGCCACTTTGATGGACACAATCCAGGCCTGCATCGCCCCCGGCTTAATCGTCATTTCCGATATGTGGACATCATACCAAGGAACTGAAGCGATGATTGACATGGATTATGCTCATGAAACGGTTAATCATACAGAAAACTTTGTGAATCCAACGACTGAAGCTCACACACAAACAATAGAATCTCTTTGCCACGCCTACAGGATGCAGAATAGAGGTCAATGCGGCGCACACCGATCTTTAGTGGACAGCTACTTGTGTGAGTTCGTTTGGAGGCAAAGGTACCGAAAAATGGACATTTTCATGCAAATTAATAAGGATATATCCCAGTCTCACCTTATTCAATAAAAACTAAAAGCACAGATTTCACATCCTCTTTTTTCTAATCTTTTTGGGTGGCGGGTGTCAACTTTTTGCGGGGCTTATCTGGAAAAGATCCTATTTTCGGTTACCAGGTCAGTATCTTCCGAAATAATCCAGAGTTGACCGAAAACTGTTTTCAAAACACTGATATCACGGACCCAGGTTCACATGCAAACCCATCTGCATAGTATTTTGGAAAATTTCAAAACACAGGCAAACAGGAGAAGGACTGCTATCAACTCACATTGGAAATTCCAGTTTGTTAGCTGCTAGTTCCCATGACTTGAAAATGTTGGAGGCAAGCGGAAAACCGCCACGCTGCATCTTTTACCAAAAGAGAAAACTGAAAAAGGTAAAAATACATGAAATGCGGGAGACAATATATAGATCAGGAAAGTCACATGAAGCATCCAGCGAAACGACAGGTTCAGATAACCGCCCACATAAATTCTTGATTCACTACTGGGCAATCCTCGGCAGGAGCACATAAGTCATGCCTAGTCATTCCCTTTTGAACCACACAAACGGTGTGCGATGCTCCGATCGGGGATAGAGAATAAGGAAGGACAGTCATGCAATTGGATGCGACGGCCCAACCGGTTTACTGGTTTACTCTAATTGTCTGACTGGGTGTTGGCTGTGGTGACTGCCACGTGACTAAGATATGTCTCTCAGAGTCACTAGCCATGTGAATATCTTGATATGTGGTCGCTTTGTGGGGAGACGACGTAGTTTATTGGTGGAAGCATCTATCCATAATGGGTTGACCGTTTCTGAGTCTTCTTCGCCCCACACGTGGCTGGTTGCCCAAAGTAGACAGTCTTTCAACATGTGAAGAACATTCCTCAGCAGCAAGACCTACTCGGTGTGATAATTTATCCTTCCTTGCTCACAAATGCGTTTGAAGTAGGTCAGCATTACTGATTCGACCTTTTTTTTAACCTGATTCGGGATTGCTTCGGAGATAGCGACGGTGAAAAAGTCCCTGAGCATAGTTTGCACGAATCAGCCAGGTTTACGACCTACAAAACAGCATGAATTGCATTTTGGCAGCATGTACATCACAGACAAACTAATTCCACATCAGGACCATGGGAATCCAGGAGCGACGAACGCCGGTCTCATCCTCCCGACTCAAGGGGCGATTCTGTCAGCCGCTGAGACTCAGGAACCTGCCCAGAGTGGTGGATTTACCCACCACACCGATCGGATTATCTACAAACAAGAGGCTGGGGCTTCAGTTCATACGGGATTGCTTAGGTTAGCATTTCTCTCCCCAGAGGGCTAATACCCAGAGGATCCCAACAACCGATCAGTTGTACCGAAGATGAAAACAGGGCTGCATCCAACACTAAGTCGGAATACCCTGTCTAATTGGTCGCTAGCACGACCGAACGTATGCTAAAGCTAGAATTGAAAAATGAAAATATGAAGGAGGAAATCTATTGGTAGAGTATGGTTTGTACAAAATTAAGCTACGATTGTGCTGTACAGCGATTTCTCAGTCTAGAGGGGGAGGTGTTGTAGGACTCTGCAAGATCTAGTAGTACCGGGATTATGCTCGATCGAACAGTGCTTCGGTCCACGGAAGACAAAGAAAGACGGTGAGCTAGTCCATGCTGTTCCGCGTCATGCATGAGTTGTTTGCGGCTTTTTTGGTACAGCGGGTCGTAATGATGTCTGAGCAGACTGGCCACGAGGCTTGACAAGTCCCCACGCTCTATGGCTTGTCGCCATTCGGCCAACCGTTTGGAGGAATGGTAGCTGGATAATCTGGGGAAGAGAGGGAGAGGAGTTACAGCAGATCGGATAAGATAACGGCGTGCGCATAAGAATGAGTACAATGCCCCTCCCCACAAATGTGCACCACACAGAACGCTGAGTGACATTTACCAGTAGAACGTATGTACAAGTGGGTTGCACTTTCCCAAAGTCGTTTTATTTATTCAGCTGCCCCACTGGAGCACTTTTTTGATGTTGTCACGCCAGACAACCTGTGCATTTAGATTACGGGCCTTGGGACAGACCACGAATCCCAGATCCGTCGTGTTATCCGTGTTATTATGCCGTTTCATGATGATGATACTGACCATCTAATCACACTACATTTAAGGCCATATCGTGGTTACGTAACAGAACTATTTGGTGGGCATCTACTTTAATTGTTAAGCGCAAAAGCCATATTACTCCATCCTGTATGCGTTATGCTAAAAATTGGCTAGCCTAAAAATTGGCTGAATAAACGGAAAGCGATGAGAACTAACAAGGAGCGTTTTTGACAAGTGATTACAATATTCCGAAAATTCCCATCTATAATAAAAACACAGATGGGTTGACGAACATGTTTTCGGCAAGGTCTTTTCAAGTCATACAATTGCAAAGGTTAAGAGAGCGGTATCTAACATATTTGAATGAGTATGGTGTAAATGGACAGGGGATCGAGTGAGATGACATTGGCTACCTATCAAAGAACCATTAGTTCAGGTCGCCAATAGGATGACTTGAGCTAGTCAGCTCTACTGAACAGAAGACTTTCCACCAGTCTGAACAAAGTTTTCCCGGCCGCAAAACTCCGAACTTGGTTCACCAGCAATCGTTTGTGCCCCTTTAATCTCAAGGATAGAGTGCCTGTCCACGCCCAAAATATGTTAGTTTACTCATTCTGTTGCTGCTGTGCAGCGGAATACATCGGACGCACGACTAGGAAACTCGGCCAAAGAATGAAGGAACACAACCCACCCTAGCTAGCTTCTGGAACTAGGAGGACGATAACCAGCTCCGTAGTACAACATTTAGCTGACACTGCACACAACGTGATACCCAGCCAAAGTTTCCGCGTTGTTTACAAGGCGCCGGCTAACCAACCCAGATCAGTACAGCAGCGCACAATTGCAGTGGCTGAAGCTATCGCCATACGACATCGCGACCCGATCCTTTGTCGGCAAAAACGCTTTGTTCGTGTGTTGTACTTACCATGGTCCAACTCACCTCCCCCCACACATGCATCGTGTGCTGAACACACAACTACAACACCCCCCGAGCTGACTAGCTCAAGTCATCCTATTGGCGACCTGAACTAATGGTTCTTTGATAGGTAGCCAATGTCATCTCACTCGATCCCCTGTCCATTTACACCATACTCATTCAAATATGTTAGATACCGCTCTCTTAACCTTTGCAATTGTATGACTTGAAAATACCTTGCCGAAAACATGTTCGTCAACCCATCTGATTACGATATACACATCTAGGGAAAGTGGAACCTATCGTATTGTGGGCACGAGTTGATAGTTTCTGCTGTTCGCCCGGACTCATGCTTCATGTTTCTTTCGCTGTGGTAACAGCTACACGTACTTTCTGATTGTCCGTGGACTGCGTGCCGTAATTTGTGTGTGGCTGGATGCCGAGTTGGGTGACGTTCGTAGTGTTGTTGCTTTGTAAACTGTGTTCGGTTTGTAGTGAGTTTGCGGTAGGTGTATGTGCACGTGGTTTGTTTCGACTCATACCAGACGGTACAGATTGTCAAAAGTCAAATAGGCCACGATTGCGTGGCGTGATTTGTGCGTGTAGGACAAAAAACGAGTTCCGCGGTCTAGTGAGTGACTGTGCTTGAACCGTCTCGTCGGGTATACCAAGGGTTAACGTCGTATATGCATTTTTTTTCTGGCGAAAAGCGCAGCTTGTGTGAGTGCTGCGCTAGATACCTGTTGCCATCTTGTCAAGACGGCTTCCATGTGCTTTTAAATCATGGACCACGGCCTTTGTAGCCCAGGCTATTGTGTCCTTCCTCACCATGTCACCTAAGTAAAGCTTTTAACTAAATACTGAGGCACTTGACACCATTTGCCAAGAGATACAGGGCTACTTACCACTTATTTGCAACCGACAATGCAATAAGCATTCGTGCATGGATTTGAGCCGTCGCCTAGCTGTGTGTAATACGCGTAGCCGCGTTACAGTAGCCCCGCCGCTTGCTTGTCCGGCCAGACAACCTGTACTTTTACTCCATAGGCCGCTGGCGCACACCAACATAAGTTTAACGTTAGCCACGACCGATGGTTCTAAACGAGGTTCCTCACATGGCTAAAGTCAGTAAGACATCGAATATCAGTCTAGCCTACCTTGGCGGTTGGCTCGACGTTTTTACGGTGAGGTATGCTAGGAACGGGAATCTCTAGCAAGTACCGAGTTTGGGAAGATCGACTGATGTTTCAGCGCTTCCCAAGTATTTTTCTTGAAGTAAGTTTTTGATTGACGTTAAGCCACAGATGGGTGTAAATGCCGTTAGGCCATGCGAACCATTCTCACAGGAAAACCAGCGGTTACCCAACTTATACACATTTTTGTTAGGCGTTCTCATTGAAGTGCTGGCCTTCAGAAGCGCTTAGTTTGAAACAGGTGGAGAACTGGATGGCATAAATAATCTCAACAATGGTAATGGGTATTTGGGCAATTATGCTCAGCCCATCAAGGAAGAACATGTGAAGGGACACACCGGTGGTGCAAAGAGTAGATTCCAAATTTAACGTGCGACTGGCTTATTATCGTCATTTCCGAACGACGAGCTACTGGGAAACGTTGACGGTTTATCTGATGCAAACCGCTACAGCTTGAAATCGCCATAAACTCGGACTCACTCGTTTAAACATGGAAATTGTGTAAAATGACCGATTTTGAGCGTCAAAAACACTCAAATCAAACATTTGGACGAAGATATTAGCTTGATGGATCGTTAATCGTTAGCGAGATGCGTGGGTTTGCTATTACTAGATTTGGCACATTCCTACCGGCGGAAGAATATATTTGCAGCAGGCTGTCCGGAGACAGAACATTAGTCCGTGTGGTATGGACCATTTGGAAAACTGAAAATGGAAGCAACCATTGTTGGACGGGCCAAGGGTTCCTCTCGGTTCGGCTTACAATAAGCTGTTCCTACAGTCGGACAAAGTGGTACCCAAGAAGGATGATTTCCCTAATAAAACGCACACGGATAGCTCCCCGTGAATAATCGATGCTCGCAGGTGCCACTGTATGCGAATTATATCTAAGTTCCATGTTTTAAGCACAGCTTCGATTCTGCTTGATAGGAATAGATGTGGTACCATCGAAAGAGAAATGTAATCGACAGGAAGCAGTCCATTGGTGATTGCATGTTCGATTTCGTCACACGAATTAAAAAAAGACAGCCTATCGTGAGTGAACGAACCTTTGTTACCATAGAAAAATGCGTGATCACCGAAGGAAAGTTTCTTCGCCTTAGAGGCCTAAAATTCCATTCTTCTTCGTCTTACAATCGATGAGTTGCTGTGGACTAATTACAGGAGGAACGGAAAGCTGTTTTGGTGGTAGGAGTGGTCGCTTTTCGATTTGGATTGAAGTATGCACCATCGAAGGAAATCACTCGCTTGAACAGGTGTCCTGTCTTCACACGAATATTATCATTGCTTACACGATGGGATACTGTGAATCATACTCTTGCAAGTCGTAGTGAAAATCCTACGGAAAGTGGGAAAAGGCTAAGGACCCGTGAAATAACCTTCTAAACAAGGGGACGAAAACGGTGATTTTCGTAAGTGTTGGATTCAGTAAATTAGCGCTGCTATCCACCTTAAAATTAGTGTCAAGTTTTAGCATCTGTTAGGGTTACAAATAGCCAGGGAGTGTAGGGAGTCGAACAAGCAAACTAGAGGCCTACTTCATAAGAACTTGGTCCAGCCTTGTGAGATCTGTTGCGGATTCCGAATAACACTCGATTATCCAGGCTATGCGGGCGTCCTCGGGAACATCAAGCCACACTCGGTGTGTACCGACATCAGGGTTGGTGGACCTCAGTCGTTGCCATAATCCATCGGAGAGACGACAAAGTGGTCCAACCGATCGAGACTCGCACTCCAGCCAAACCGGAGAGAATGCTGTTGATGTACATTGCTGTGTCATAAACCAATTGTGCAATCGTGTTTCGAACTGACACTGTGAAATGAGGGACCGCGTGGAGGAGTTTGTGGTTTCCAAGGTCCCAAAAATGGAACCTTTGTGCTCAGCTAATTCTTCCAAATCTAGCACAGTCTCGTTCACTCTGGACAGTTCGGAAAGAACCAATGACTTTCCGGACCCTGTAAAAGAGAACAGAACTTGCAGCTGGAAGGAAAGTGCCGAAAATCCGAAACAATATAGATTCACCAATTATTTCTTCAAAGAGATTCTATTTGAAGAAGCCAGATCTATCTCATCCTTTGGGGCTTCGTCCAAAGGATTTGGTCTTTGTCTATATGAGTCAACCGACTCAGGTAGTCTCTGGATAGGGTGACCTAAGTAGACTGTCTCATGGCACAGCTTACAAAACGATGATATAAAGTTTTTTGGCAGACGAATTCAGTACCAGCGCCATTGATCACTTGGTCATGCTTCGATGGATAGACATCAGCCTAGACAATCAATAAAGCACCGTGTCACAGGTTTTCAAATTGTTTGGCAATGATAGAGCTCAAAGTACTGATGAATTAATTCATCCAAACCATCGATGCTCCGACCTATGGGGAACACTAGGTACCAACCAAATGCCGATTGCTGTGGCGATTTGAAATGACAAACGAACAGTGTTCTTATCCTGGAACCGAGTGAGCCACGACGGTGCGGTTACCAGTCAAGAATAACACCAACCTACCTGTAAGACCGGCAATTATCCAAAACTGACCGGGCATTCGCCAACGGGGCCAGGCATCGAGCTGACGTAGCAATAGACGACGCCATGAGTGAAACCCACCGAGAAGCAAACCAATCCGACCGGGCCAACCAATTTCGCTTAAAAGTGTGGCCACCGAATTGGATCTCTGTCCACCACGCAGGCAATAGACCAGGACACTTGGAGCAGAATGCATTTCGCTCTTCTGTTTCCCAAGAGCCACAACGGTCTCGTCGAAGGCCATCTGGTTCAAAATTTTGCTGAGGTTGGCGCATATGAGGGATGCCCCGATGAATCGGGATTGTAAGATGTTACCTGTGGATAAGGTGGAGTTGAGGTAGAGATGGTGAGCAATAAACTTTTGATTTACCAAGGACAGGGACCAAGCGGGACTACAAGGCATGGTAGAGGAGTGAATATATGATTTTTCTTCAACTGATGAGAAAACGGCTAGGTTTTCACGGAATTTATGATATTCGTTCATAAGTTGATAACAGGATCAACCTATGCGTCCAATTCTATCGAGATCGCTCACGTGGAGTAAACATCACTCGGGATATCATTCACAACAGTTCATCCTCGGACCGCGGGCGACCTATATGTACCAATAGTCCAAAATTACGGCCAGCGAGCTACGAAGATCTCTTATCATACTTCGGCGTACCTTGTGAATACGTTTCCGCAAACTGGTTACTATTCGCTGAGATTACTGATGCGCGGAAATAAGCAGACCAGAGCCTGTTCGCTCGTTCAAAACAAGCCATCGTATAATCGAGAATAAGCGTGGGATTCCCGCAAGTACAGCCTCGGCAACTTCAGGTGCAACTGATTAGAATACAGATGCAGCGAATCCACGAATAGATGAGTCGCACGCAATGTTAATCCAGTTTTTCAGATCTGACGGGCTGTTTTGTTGTATGGATGTGACACTTGGCCTGTTCGAGCAGCGGACCTGAGACGTCTTCAGGTGTTCGATGACCGTTGTCTCAGAACCATAGCTCGTGTGGGTTGGTGTCAGCGAATCCGTAACGAGGCAGTTAGAAAGCGTGTTTTCGGTTGTGT